TGATAGCAGCGAGCTGCCGCTGCGCTTTCTCGAGTTCGGAACAACTCCATCGGTTGGATCCTAAAGAACCCTTCCGCATCGCTCGTCCAAGGCACGTGGGGAGCGGCAACCCTCGTGTGCTACTGGCAGGCCGTCACTTCTCGATAGAAGCGGGTTGCATATTCGTAGTTGCGACACAGTGCGACTGCTTTGAGGGGCACTACGAGTTGCTATGATTTCTGTCTGGAGTTCACGCCTTTTATACGTATTTTGGGCTTGGGGGCATACGTCGAAATACGGGGTCCATACGCCGAAATACGGGGTCATTACGCCTATACGTATTCTGGGTTCGGTGGCACGTATTTTATACGTAGGGGTACGTAGTTTCTACGTAGTTCTCTGTTTGGCTTAATTACGTACATACAGACCAGCGAAAACAACAAAAACACATTTGTACGTATTTCAACTATATATATCTAAATGATCACATATATATAATTGCAAATGTACGTAAAGCTGGTCCTGCCCTTATATATAGATCTGTACTATACTACATAGATCGCCCCAAGCAGCCTTTTAAATTATGCCTGGGTAGCCAGGATCAAGGCCGCCCGAGAATCCCTTTAATTGGGCAGGAGACACAGGAGACCTTTTCGGGGCCCGCTCGGCACTTCCTGGGATCGCTGTCTAATTATCGAATTGGCAAAGTCAGCTGGATTCAGCCCTGCCTTGTCGTGTTTGGCAAAACCCGAGCCCAACTCGCGGGAAGCTTCAGACTATAATTGCCTTTCAAGTACACCAAGACATCGTGCATTTGAGCCCGATCCCACAAGTCACCCCATGGGTACTTCTCGTAAAGATCCTGAGCAGACTGTCCCCTCAGGTTCAGTGGCACCTTCCATTTGAAGGCCGTCTTGCACATGGACTTGTGCAGCTGAACGATCTTCTCCCCGAATCGACGGGGGTACGACCTTGGCAGCAACTTTAAAGGAGAGAAGGGCCATGGGTATCAGGTACATTATATCTAGTGAGCTCGCCGGGACTACTGCTATAGAATCAGTACATTTCACATGCCTGCACATGCACGATCGCTTCAGACTTGGGGTGCGGCTGGCTTGCCTTTAATTTCTTGTTCCCAGTAAAGCATCGCTTGCCCCTCTTGTTGATGAAGCGAGTCGTTAAGATTTGCTTCGGTGTGGCCTTCTTATCAAGTCTGCCGATCCAAAGACCAGATATAGTCCGTGCATTTGAAAATGCAACCTGAGGTTTCGCAGACGCAGCACCATAGGTCCCCATAGACCAACTGATCCGAAAGACCTGCAATTGCATCAAGGAAACAACTGCCAAATGGTGTTCATAACTAGGAGACTAATTATTGCAACCGACATCTTGTAAGAAGTCACATGTACCGGAAGGCTCCATCTTTATGTGCTCAGTGCAGAAAAAAGGTTACAGGAAGACCCTAAACCCTAAACCCTAGACCCTTAAGCCGGAATAACCTACCTTTTTAGGGTTCCTTATTATAACTTCCTTATATATATATATATATATATATAAGTCCTTAAAAAGGTAGGTTATTCCGGCTTAAGGTGCATGAGGATAAACTATCCAAGGGAAGCAAATAGACAAGGCACAGGCTTTCTTGTTGTAGTGGCGAATATAGACAATATACCACAATATGGGTGTCGTAATTATATAAGGTTTGCATAGTCATCGCCTTTAGTCATCCAAGGTTTGCCTGCGTGCTCTACTGCTGCCCGGCCTCCCCGACCGTCTGGAAGGCTTCGACGAGATCTTGGTACCAGGCCATGTATGAGCCGGCTGGCTGTTCGAGCAACCATGCACCCTTCATAGCTGTGATCAAGAGGAGTAAGAGGCAGCACCTGCATGGTTAATTGGGAAGATTAGACAAATTTTAGGACTTGATTGGTGTGGCTTGCATATATGCACAGAATATGCAAACGAGGCGCCTGGAGCAAAGAAGATTCCCCAGTCGTACAGATGCAACAGTTGTATCCCCTTCTGGCCATAGTGCACATCGTTTGTGCACGGCAACATTCATCCCTGAAAAGGAACTGCAGACCGGGGCCAGAATCGCCAGAAACTCATCCGATTTCCCATTGAGAACCGTCGCAAGAGCTAGCCTCATGCAGGCTTTATTCGTTTGGCGATGTTTGGCGACTGCGCATGATTACTGGCAACTCACGGATATCTCTGCCGAGGCTCGCCATGCCACTTGGGGTCGCCAGATCCATGGGGTTTTGTTTTCCAGGTCGACATTCTTCCCCCAATAAGATATCTAAGCTGGCTACCCGATGCCCTGCCGCTCGCAACGACCGGGACACCATAGCATCCCCACAGAAGAACTCCACAGCCGTGTAGTCCTGTACTGCATGGGTTTGAGATGACTAGCAGGATGAAACACTTTCGGTTTTAGAATTATAGTGATATCGTTAATCTATATAGGGTTGTGGATATCAGAAGCTACACAGGTATGCTTGTGTCGACAATCTAAGAATATAGACCCTGTAGGGACTGGTGTCGAAGAACTCCAGGCTACTGGAATATAGGTGGCATGGCGGGCTTGTGATTTTTGAGGGCTGTGTCATTTCTCAGGATATTCGGATGGTTCATGATGTGACTATTTTTGTGGCCTACAAAGACCGGTTAAGGGGGGATATCTATGGATCCGAGAAGGGTTGTGCACCTGGCTCTGCAAAACGGGCACATGTTCCTATCTAGATTGCATAGTTGCAGAGAGATTGAACCCGCGGGGTTCGGGCGAAACGAAGCTCGGTGAATCCTTGCTGGTATATTCCTGAACTAATGCATCAGCAAGACTTGAGATTTTGAATCCGATGGGTTGGGATTATGTACAGTTGCATATTCTCAGGATGTCTTATAGGAAATGTTAGGGTGTCCAAATACATAGGAGTGATAGGATTCAGCATCTCGGGGCTTCATTGCTTCCGGCACATAGGAGTACAAGAGCTTAAGTTGTTTTGTTTTTGGGTTTAGGGTTTAGGGTGTAGGGTTTAGGGTTTAGGGTTTAGGAAGGCCCAAAACACTTTAGAGCTAACAAACACTTAGATAATTGAGTACACAGCAAAGAGATCAAACCTTCTAATAAATGAATGAAGCACCCCCGACCCGTTGTAGCAGCTAAGGTCTTATGTGTACCTTTCTTCATAAGATACACGAAATAAATCCTAGACAATTATTGAAGTGAAGATTGGTACTCGCAGCCGATGTCTGAGATTAGGGTGTCCCGATATATATATATATATATGTATGTATATATATATGTATACATGTATATATGTATACATATATATGTATATATGTATATATGTATATATGTATATGTATATCTTTACACACATTTGACCCAGTAAAGGCGTTCCTCCTTAGAGTGATTGCATATACCTGAAATCCAGCATCTTGTCCAAAAACCTGCCATAAACCCACTATGCAAGGTTGGTGCACCTGGATCCGGAGAGCACCATGGATATGCAGGCCTACGATGTTGAGTTCGTGCGAGACTAAATTTCTAGCTACACCTTACCGGACCCCACAGAATAATGTTCCCGGCTGCACATGGTTAAAGCATATGTGAGAGCAGAAAGCACGGAACGCATCATTGGTGTTAAGGGGTTATTTCTATTTAACTCCAAGTCATCACAAGTTGGGTAACTGGTGAAATACTAGTTAGCGATGGACTAGATGTATAACGCCCATACTGCGTATCATAGCCCCAAACCCATAAGCCTCAAGACTGAGCCCCGAAAGCTGAACTTGCCCGTGTATTTTACCAATTGAAACACCAGCTGGCCTCAGCAAAGACTCGCACGTTCTCACTGAACGTCAAGAGGATAACAGCAGTGATGAGCACCTGTGCATGCAGGGGCTTGTGAATCATATTAGATGATTGGCCGGGCGTTTACATATGGGTTTTCGGAGCAGCAACTACCTGGCCTTGGGACATTGCTTGCCAATCAGCTTCTTCACCAAGCCAGCAAGCTTCGTTTCGCGGAGCCCCCATGTATCCATGATCGATGTTTAAAGAGCAGCACTGAGAATCTGTGCATGTGTGATGTTTCGGAACACTCTACATTCTAGATACAGGCAACAAGTAGTGAGTCGACAGCCAGCGGAGCGGGCTGCTTAAGCTGGGGACTGGTCGAGCTGCTTCAACGAAGCAGTATATACTTTAACCATATATACCAAGTAACCTTGAGCAACGACATGCACGAGCCTTGCCTCTAGCAGAAGAATTGTACTGCACTCTTTGCCAAGCACAGCTCACGACTGCAAGCCAAGGCAGGCTGACCATCGTCCTCCTGAATCAGGCGGCGCCTCCACCCGTTTCCACGCACCATTCAGACCTGGGCCGAAGGTAGATATGTTCTGATTTATCGGGCATGTATAAGCTGCTGCACCGCGTACAATGCAAAATCACCGAAGCACTATATATATTAGAACAGAGGTTACCGTCGATCAGGATAGCTCTTGAAGTCTCTTGCCGAAACATGCACCGAAAGCAAGAGTTATTTTCTGTTCACCAATGCGCCCCGGATGGTGACACTCCTCGCCTGCAGGCAATCCTGCAGCTGAGCACAACAGCACAGCGTCCTCTCCAGCTGGCGAAATGTACAGGTATATAGTGTAGACAGTGTAGATAGGCTAGATAGGAGCCGAGAACATCTTCTATCCTCGCAATTTACGTACACATGTAGTTTTACAGGCTTGATCACTCGAGGACTTCGTGCCGTGTAACATTGAGATCTATACTGGCATTCCAGGAATTAAAGAGCACAGCGCTGTGCTTGTAACCGTCAAAAGTTGAATCATGCTACATCGGGGGCGGCCTAATGATCCGAACTAAGGCACACAAAGGCGACCTCAGGGTATATATATGCTATATATATATATATATATATATAGTCTATATAGGTATACGGTAGGGGTAAGCATGGTTTTCATTATCACGTACTCCACTAGGTTGTGTACAGTCACCAATGCAGCCGAAGATCAAACAGCCCCGACAAGGGATTCATAGCAACGGCTTCATGGATCCTATCTACCCTACAACTCCTTCACAAACAGTCTGGCAGCATGTACCGCATGTCCGGGGAGGGTGTTCTCGTTGATCTCCTTGCAAGAGAAGAACTCGGCACAGAAGTTCCAAAATGGCTCCTCCGGCAGCGGGGTTATATTTTCAGAGCGGGAAAGTTGACATATTCGAGCTAATGTTTGATATGGGTTCATGCATTGTATTTGCCTATATATGTATATATTCTTAACTGGATAAGTTTTAATAATAATAATAATATATATATATATATATATATATATATATTATATATAGAGACATCTATACTTCAGGTTCTCACAGAACTTCCGTATGAGTACCAGAACATTTCTATTCGAAAGCATCGTGATGGATGACTATATATATATATATATATATACACACCAAATACCAGTATGTATATACACATATATATGTATATATGTATGTGTATGTATATATATATATATACATGCACCCGTAGATTTGTATTCGTACATGCATGTAGGCCCGAGCACAGAAACATGCATGCATGAGTACTTGTATCTTGCCCATGATTCATATAGACGTACAAGTAATTAGCAGGCTATCAAGCAGCACAGATAATTTGTGTGGGTGTACCTATATATGCATATATACATATCTGTATCTATATATATATATATATACATCGTTTGTCTACATACATCTGTATACACCAAACGAATGCATACATGTATATACAACTATATATAGATGCACATACATATACATATATACATATATATATATATACCCGAATACATATACGACTACATGTATGTATATATGTGTGTGCTTACATGTATGTGAGTGTGGACATGTGTAAATACATAACCATGCATGTGTATATATATATATATAAAGATACACAGTTATACACATATAATTATATGTTGAAGATGAATAAGGTGCAAGACGAAACATGCCGGTGTGTATATCTATATATATATATATTTGAAAAGGTTCATGTGTACATATCGTTATGGATTTATGAATATGTTCATTTCTATTCTACACACATACTGTATATCTGATCATATCTGTTCGTATATATATATATGTGCCTAAAGCTATCATGTACAAGGCATGTTTTGATGTGTATATATATATAGATACATGTAGAGGTCTGTATGCAGGTAGCTACATGTGTGCGTGTGTGTGTGTGCACGTTTGAATAGCTATAATTTTGATAAGTATGTATATATGTATATAGGCTTATATAAGTATATTCTATGTACATATATGTACATATATATATACACACATACGATAGAGAGGCAGAGCGAGAGCAAATGCAAGTAAGTCTATTTCTAGACCTGTTGTATAAATATGTATATAAACTAAACATATATATATATGTGTGTATATATATATCTCCAACACTGTCACAACTAGTTGGTATTAAAGGTTCACACACCCAGCTAAGCACTCCTCCTGCGCAGTCTTGGCACCAGGGTCGAGCTTCGGAAGCACGATGCGCTCGAAAGCCTTGCGGATAAACAACCACTTCGCCGACGATAGGGTGGGGTTCGGCTGGCGGCGTCTGGCAAAGGTCTGCGTAGGCAGGACATACTCATCCTCGACCAAGGCTCGCACATCGGGGTCATCTGCACGAGCAACCTGGGCTTTGCGGCCCCTCTTCTTTGCAGGCTCGTCCACCAATCGCTCCTCCACACTTGCAGGAACCTTGGCTTTGCGGCCCGTCTTCTTAGCAGGCTCGTCCACCAATCGCTCCTCCGGAACCTTGGCTTTGCGGCCCCTCTTCGCAGGAGGCTCCTCCACCGAAGGCTCCTCCGGAACCTTGGCTTTGCGGCCCCTCTTCGCAGGAGGCTCCTCCACCAAAGGCTCCTCCGGAACCTTGGCTTTGCGGCCCCTCTTCGCAGGAGGCTCCTCCACCAAAGGCTCCTCCGGAACCTTGGCTTTGCGGCCCCTCCTCTTAGGAGGCTCCTCCACCAAAGGCTTCTTTGCGTTGGCTTTGCTGGCCTTGGACACCTCGGCTCCGGCATCCTTGGCTGCACCTCCACACTTGCGTCGATCTGCCTTCTTCTTGGTCTCGGGCTTCGCCGTCACAGCGTCCTGCGGCTCACCTTCAGGCTCCTCATCGGAATGCTGCGTAGCCAAACCCACAGCAAGCTCATCCGGGAACGTGTCGTAGAACTCACCCTCGGCATCACGCTCAGCACTCCTTGCAACCTTGGCAGCAGGCTTCTTGAGCACGGCACGCTTCTTGGCAACGGCTTTTGGCCCAGACTTGGGTGCTGCAGGCTTGCGCTTCCCTGGCTTGCTACCACCTGCACTCGTAACCCCCGACGTGTCGTCGGCTTCCTTATCGATGGCTTCCTCGCTCTCAGCCTCGTCGGCTTCCTTGTCGCCACCCTCCATGTCGATGGCTTCCTCGTCATTGGGCCCCGCCGTGCCGTCGTCTTCATTATCGATGGCTTCCTCGTCATGGGGCTCCGCCGTGGCGTCGTCTTCATTATCGATGGCTTCCTCGTCATGGGGCTCCGCCGTGGCGTTGGCTTCCTTGTCGATGGCTTCCTCTTCATGGGGCTCCGCCGTGGCGTTGGCTTCCTGGTCGATGGCTTCCTCTTCATGGGGCTCCGCCGTGGCGTTGGCTTCCTTGTCGATGGCTTTCTCGTCGTCGGCAATCGCTCGGCGGCCACGACCGCCACGACCACGACCGCGATTGCCACGTCCACCGCGGCCTTTGCCTTTGGCTTTTCCTCCATCCTTTTGATCATTCGCCCTGGCTTCCTCAGCCCTTGCTTGCTTCCCAGCCAACTGCTCACGGCGAGTCACCTTAGAGGCCGCTGGGCATACACATACAAATACACATATCATAACCGACTGTCTGTGTATTTATGATATGTGTTATAATATATATATATATATAACTACACTTGCACATCAATTTGTGACCTGGTCTATTAGAAGTCTATATATATATACATATATATATATATATACATATATATATAGACACATACATACATATATATATATATGTACATATATATATATGTATATATATATATATATATATATATATATATATGTATATATATATATATATATATATACACTCTCATGTCCTTATCTATGCATATATGTCTACAAACAAGTTACATATATTTTGTACATGTACATATATATATATATATGTGCATTTTTATTTGTTTATATTTATGTATATGCAACATTTGCCCATCTCTCTACAAATATGTTCAATGTGAGGTGCCATTACATATTTATATATATATATATATATATACATAGGTGCCTACATTCTTATATACATATATATTTCGATCTACCTATTGGATTATATAAGCATCTCCCTCACTCTCCTCACAACGTGAGACATTGGAAGTTGTACTGTGCAATTTCAAACCGGGTCACAAGTGGTGGCTCTGGCTCCTCATCCGAATCCACGGGCACCGACTTCATGCCATCGGCAATGACATCCATCTCCGCTTCTGCCATGACCTGCGTCTCATCCTCTGGCAACGGGAAGGGGACGGCCTCTTTGTCATCCCCAGCAGAGCCACTGCTGCCTCACGAAAATAAAAGAATTGGACTGCAAACTAAACCCAACAAGTATACAAAAATATATTTATATGTACATATATGCATGGTTCCCAACAAACTGTGCCTGAGCCGTCCTCCCCAAACGTGCTCTTGAAGATGTCCTCTGCTCGCCTGGCGAGCTTAGCCTGCTTGGCCAGCTTCCTGCCACAGCAGCATACAAAGTCAGATAGATGGTTTATATATACACACATATGCATGTGTATGCTTCTATCAATGCATATATACATACATATATGTATATATACTTCATATATATATATATATAGGTATAGATATGTACACCATGTGTATGTTTACAAATATATTATACCATCTGTGGGTATATAAAAATACCTGTATATATGAGCATGTATGTGTGCACTTATACATGCAATGTATATATATATATATACTATAGATATATATATATATATATATAGATGTCTATATTTGTACATGTACAGTATATATATATATATGTACACTCAAACACAAAAGACTGTTCCTTAGAGCACTCCCTGGATCATGACACTCAGTCCTGGCACGTTTTTGAACCTTCAGCGCATTGAGCTGCTTCTTCAGCTGCTCGATCTGCAAGCACTTGCAAAGGACCTTGGGCAGCGAGCATTTTGCACAGGTCTCGGATTCATCGTCCACGTCGATGAAAACCGCGTTCTTTTGGATGGGAGCCACGACCTGGTCGGGAGCCTTGTCCGAGCTCGAAGAGCTGGGCTTTTCTGGCACCTGATCATGCCCATCATCTTCTGCTGCAGCCACTGCATCTCGGCTCAGGTTCGCCTCGGCTTCCGCTGCATCAAAAAAGCCGAAGGGGTCCTCCTCCAGCTCGTCCAAGTCATCATCTGCAACGACAGAGTCAGTTACAGAGGCTCCAGACTCACTTGACTCGCCCGGGAACTCGTACTCCCGATTCTCGTCCTCTTCATCACTCAACACCACCGCATCCGGAGCAGAAGCCACTTCCGGAGCAGAAGCCAAATTCGGAGCAGAAGCCACATCCGGATCAGAAGCCACATTCGGAGCAGACTCCGCATCAGGACCAGAAGCCACAACATCATTAGCAGCCCCTGGCACATGCAGCCGCTCGTAGCGAATCGGGCCCTCCTCACAAGCCGGTGGCAGCGGGCGGTGGGCAACCTCCACCACTGCAGGCTCGGCAGCACCTTCCTGACAGGACTCTATATATATATATATATATATGTATATAGTATATTTGAATCGTTATAAGTGGCCTATATATATGTGTGTATTTATATATATATATATATATATATATATATATATACAAGCACAATTAACCCCACAACACAACAAAAAATTGACAACAACTCGAGTGAGTAGCTCGGGGCTGCAGAATGATGTCCATCAGGTCACGGAACACGGGGCTCTTTGGAAGCTTCCCAGTTTCGCGCAACTTACGGCATTTTAGCTTCACCAGGCTGCACATTTGCTTGCAACACCAAGCATCTTTGTTTGGTGTGTCAGCAAACTTGGCAGGAACATTTCCAGCGCCAAAAATCAGCTCGGCAAGCTTCTTCAACCTGGAATGCATATACAAGGAGCAAGCAACTGTTTGAGATATATACAAGCTCCGAACTCAAGCGAAAAAGCAAAACCACTCCACAAATCGAATTCTAATGAAGACGAAATTCTGCCTCTCACAAGCAGGAACACTGAAAAGCCTCACAGACCCTTTCGCATCACGTGGAGCCTTGCGCATTGCCTCAAGCAGCGGCTTTAGCACCTGTGCGTGGTGCGCAGCCTCCTTCACTGTGATTTTGGGCACTCTCGCCGTGGCGGTGGGGTCCAAGGAGAAAAATGTTTTGCCATGCTCCCTGTAGGTGGCACGGATCTCATCAATCTTCTCCCATTGCTGCGCAATCCCACTAATGCAGGTCATGGCCACTGACCAGCACGACACGAAGGGTCTATACCCTTATAAGGATCCAAAAGGCCTTCAGACACTAAGGAGCGCTTCGATTGCCCATCAAATCTCCTGCATGACAAAAACTACAACACCAAAAGCACTGCACATGTGTATACAAGACAGATGTGCACAAAGGCTGCATATATACATGTTAGAAAAGCTATATAAAAACGAAAGCACTGCATTGACGTCCATATATATATATATATATATACATATGTGTGTACCTTTATTGAAATATACATACTTATCTAAATGCATTTATTTCATATATATATATGTATGGCTTAAATTTGTTGCAGCCATCTATCTACATTTGGACATGAACAAGTAAGCACGAAGGCGTGCCTACATGAGCACATGCATGAGTATCTATCGACATACATATACATATATAGAGAGAGTTTAAGAATACATATATACATATATACATATATACATATATATATATATATATATATATATATATATTGTATGCATGACACACAAACTACAACAGTACACGACGAATCCAGTAACATGTGTACCGACATGCCAGGGTTCACAGTTAATGCATATATATATATATATATATACATGTATGCATGCCTGTACATGTATATACCTATGCAGAAATTGACATATCAGCCCACTTCCTACAAACATGAACCTACATACATGTATATTGAAATGCATGCAAACCCAGCAACAAACATACTTACATGCATACACATAGACAAAGTTACATACGCGCACTGCACATCTTCTATACAACATACACACACCCACACGTCCGTGAATGTGCCCGTCCGCATACAGGCATATATCTTAGAATTAAAATACATGCACGATATATACAAAGCATGTGCCTCCGTGCATACATGCATATATGCGTATATCACACTCGCTACACAGCTCAGCAATCGATCTTGACGGGCTGAGCATCCAGCCTCGAAGTTGGAAGTGTTCAGAAAGAAGTCCACGGCCAAAAAGAAGCGCAGCCAACGGCATACAGATAAGAGGATAGCTTCATGCAGGATATATAGATTTACATCTTCCGCCTAATTAAGGCTTTTGTTCGAGCTGCTTTCATGAGCCTTCAGCCTCCAACGATTGTGTTGGACCCTTTGAAGAGTCTACTTCAACGAACAAACACCAACTGCTGGCTTCGAGCCTTGACCTTCCGGTGAAACAGTGGTTTTTTTGCAGAACCAGGTTTTGCAGCACAGAGACGAATTCTGTCCCCGAAGACGATGTTATTTCTCGAACCGATATAACGGTCGGTTCTTTAGGCTGCAGGTACTGCTAAACTAAAGCAGAAGAACCAAGCAAAACCCACAAAGACCCCAAAACACCCCACAAACAAGAGCAACGCCCTGAAACCCACCTCAACCCTGAACCTGCGACTCGAAGCTCCTCCACAGCAAAGAGTCCGGATGATCTTAACTCGATGTGGAGCACCTGAGAGTTTATTTAAGCCAGCAGCCGAGACTGATGTAATGAAGGGCACAGGGGCCTCAATACGGTTGATGATATAAATCCTGCATCACCCATAATAATCATAATAAGGAATATACCATAATTCTCATAGTTTAGGATCCTTAAGGTTATGCAGGATTTGCATCATCAAGGGTAGCTACCTATACTACACGGCCAGAAGCCTTTGAAGGAGCCCCCTTAAAGACGGAGCCCTGTGAAGGAAACCGAGACCTGGAGGATTTAATGTAGGGGGCCTCAAGAATTACCTATACCCTTTTGGGGCTCCTTATTGTACTTGCTGCAGCATGAAGGAGCTCAGAACCCTATTTTAAGTAGTAAGGCCCCTACATGTCTTAGGGGTTTCTTTCCAGGGTTCTGGCAGGTTGTTTGTTACTCGGGTGTCGGGGTTCACGGGTTTAGGGCTTGGTAATAGAAATTCTATTCTCATAGCATCTTTTCGCACCTCATAAAGCCCCATTCAAAAATGCTCAGGCCCGAAAGACTAGGACCCAGAGTAGGCCCTCATTCCCTTTTTTAGGGTTCCCTTTAAACCAAAAAGGGCATCCTTTTTTATGCCCGAAAGACATAAATCCTAAACCCCCAACCCTAAACCCTGAACCCCGATGGTATGGTAAGATACTTCTGTGTCCACATTGAGGCCCCAACATAGGCTCCACCTGGTAAGGTATTCCCTCTGGTAACGCAGTCGGAAAAGGGCCCGCAAAAAAAAAGAAGAACCCTAAACCCTGAACCCTCGCCCTACTTCTCGCAAAGAGCAGGCCTACCGTGAGGCATTGGCAGCCCCGGCACTTTTGCTCAACTTCCTGCGAGTTGGGTCTAGGTTTAGGGTTTAGGGCTTCAGAGGGTTTAGGGTTTAGGGGGGTCTAGCGTTTAGGAGCTGGGATTTGAGGGCTTTGGGATAAGGTTTTGCGATTAGGATCCAGGGTTTCGGGTTTAGGAGTTGGAGTTCGGGTTTACCGTTACCCTAAACCCTTAAACAGTAAACCCTAGACCCTCAAGTGTCAAGCTATGGAGGACGAAGTGTTCGTGGAGATACCCGAGGGATTTGAGCCATGGCCTCACAGGGTAGCAATAGGGAAGTCCCACACGGCGAGAATTGCGGGAGCGCAGAACGCGATACCCTTGATGGAGGGTTCGGTTCCGAGATTCGCGAAAGCAGGGCAGTGATTCACCAACTCGCAGGTGATGAGTATGGGGACCGTGCTCCCAGTCCACTTGGCGAGGAGCCACTCCATGAGGGGAATGCAAGTGATCTCGCAGAGGGCAGGGGACTTGTAAGTATCATAGCCCCAATTAGGGTCCCTTTTAGGGTACTTATAAGTCTACTTACTACCTACTTACTAAGTCCCCCGACCCTCCAAGCGTACCACGTGACTCCAGACATGGAAGTCCGACGGATGCTGACCACGGGATCAGTGACAGAGAAGAGGGCGACATGGCCGTGCCTGTAGGGACGAGCGACGCGGCGACGAGCCTGATCCCGTTGAGGAAGGCTTAGGGGTACTTAGAAATCTAATTTGCCATTTTTGGTTATATATTATAATCCCTAGGAAACAGCTAAAATTATAGTTTTTGCTAGGGTTCTAAGTTCAGTATAGAAGGCGGGCAGAGCGAAGGTGACGAGATCCCAGAAGAGGGAAGCGGGACTGGACCTGGAGAAGCTCACAGAGAAGAACCCCATCGCCAGCAAGATAGCGAGACTGCGAGCCTGCATTACCTTAAGGACCCTAAACTACGAGACTTATGGTATATCCCTTAATTATTGTGGGTAATGCAGGATATGTATCATCAACCGTAGCCTGTAGCAGTTGTTCCGTAAGCTTTCAGGGCAAAAATACCAATAGGGTTCCTGATTCTACTTGTACTATACCAAGCCCGCACCTTAAGGACAACAGTACCTGCAGCAGCCCTAGTAGTGATCTGAACGGTAACCCTTGGAAACTTGGAAACCGTGTAGTGCAGGATAGTCATAGTAGTTCTTCCGTAAACCAGAAGGACTCTTCAAAACCCTAGAAGCCCGAAGCCCCAAACCCCAAGACCCTGAACGCTGAAATCCCAAACAACACCAAACCCCAAGACCCTAAACCCTAAAATACACCCCAAACGCTAAAGCCCCAAAGCCTAGAACCCTAAAGCCCCAAGCCCTAAACCCTGCACCCTAAACAAAACCCCCAACCCAGACCCCCTAAAAGCCCAAAACGCCCCAAACCCCTAAAATCCTTCAGGACAACATCAGCTACATCCCGATAGTACTCTTATGGATTTCTTATAAGAGCCCTTAAAGGAACCCTAAACCATAAAACCCCGCACCTTAATCCTTAAACCTTAAGGACAACATTAGCTACATCCCTTTAGCACCCTTAAAGGAGCCTTTAAAGGAACCCTACACCATACAACCCTGAACTTAATCCTTAATCCCTAAGGACAACATCGGCTACATCGAACCTAAAGCCTAACCAACCTTAATACCAAAAAACCCTAAAACCCTAAACCATAAACCAGAACTAACCCTAAGGACAACATCAGCCCTAAACCCCCTTTAAAAACCTTTTACGGTAGCCTCGAAAGGAACTCTTAAAGGTACCATATGCCTAAACCCCTACAGTCCGTAAGGACAACATCAGCTACATCGACTGGAAGCCCCTTATAGTACCTCTATGGTGATTCTCACAATAACCCTAAACCTTAAACCCCCAAACCCGAAGCCCCGGAAACCCTATAAGGACAACATCAGCTACGTTGAACCTAAACCCTAAACGTTAACCATCATGCCAAAAGGCCGTAAAAGCAGCCCCAAAATCCCTAAAGCCCCTTATCGTACCACTATACACCAAAAAATCCTAAAACCCTAAACCCTAAACCCAGAACTAAACCTAAGGACAACATCGGCTACATCCCCTATAGTACCCGTATGGATTTCTTATAGGAGCCTTTAAAGGAACCCTAAACCCTAAACCCCCAAAATCCGTAAGGACAACATCAGCTACATCCCTGTAGCACACTTTAAAGGAGCCCTTACAGGAACCCTGCACCATAAAACCCTAAACTTAATCCTGATAACCCCTATGGACAACATCAGCTACACCCTAAAGCCCCTTATCGTACCTCTATGGTAATCCTTAAAATGATCCTTATAGGAGCCCTTAAAGGAACCCTAAAACCCCTAAGGACAACATCAGCTACATCGACTGGAAGCCCTACGGGCCGAGTGCTGGAGCCCTCGCGGCCTTCCTCTCGACGGGCCTTCGCGACGAGGAGAGCGGTGTTTTAGGCGTGTAGGGGTTTAGGGTTATATGGGGTTTAGGGTTCTTTAGCGGTTTAGAGGGTTTAGGGGTTTTGGGGGGGGTTTAGGGGATTAGGGCTAGGATTTTAGGGTTTTTTGGTGGTTTTGGGTGGTTTTGGGTGGTTTTGGGTGGTTTTGGGTGGTTTTGGGTGGTTTTAGGGGGTTTAGGGGATCAGGGTTCAGGGGTATATGGGGTTTAGGGGCTTAGAGT